GCGCGGTGGTGTTTATGAATGGACGCAATATGCTTTGTTGTAGGGCGCAGGCGTCTATGAATGAAAATGTTATTGTTGTATTTGATTTCAGCTTTTGGGCGAGAGAAGCATTTAGAGGGAAGTATGTTTTCACATAAGCAATGCGTTTGTATGTTTTTGCCTATGCGTGTAAGAATACTTGTACATACATCTGTACATACATACATACAACTCATTAATATGTTAAAGTTACAATTAAATTAAAATTCAGATCAAATAATCCTCCTTATAAAATACGCTATTGCGAAATGCCGACGGCAAATCGTCCCTTCATAAGGAAATTCTTCACTATTAGATAATACAGAAATTTGAAAAAGATGTACAATACATTAATGAAATAAATCCTTTCACCCCCATTCCAAAAAATATATTAATAATATTTTCGTTTATTTTGATAAGAAGCCTACAAAAATTCGTTATCTGAATTTAACATATACAATGTTAGTTGCAGACAGATCAGTACATTGCTGAGCATATTTAATTTTGCTACGCTCAGTAATGTTATGCATCAATAGCAAACTCTGTTAGTTTCTGGCGGCCTGTGGTGAAATGCACCCATCGTAACTTGGCAGCTTTTGACAGTTTACACGCTGGTCCGCAATTGAACCTTCTCGTTGTATTTACGTTCTCTGGTAATGTCTAGAGCGAATATCGCACAAAGCGGAAATTGGAAAAATGTAGTGAATAGATCACTTGCAATAAAGTTAGCTCTTCAAAGCTGCGCTCTTTTAGCAAAGTGGTGAATATCTTCCACTTTATTAATTTTCTGCTATTTTTTCTTATGCTGTATTTTATGGGTCATTGAACCATGGAGAACAGCTGACAATGCAAATAATTATAATATTGACCTATAAATGCAAGTAGGCTTTATAACTGCAATTAGATTTAGTATTTGTACTTGTTATGTATCTATGTACATAAGCGGAATGCATACAGTAGGAATGCTGTATTCGCGCTTATGTATATACAATAATTAACGGTCAAGGAAATTGATCGCTTACCCCTTCTTTTGCGGAAGTTGAAACTGCAAAAAATTATATATTTTTTATAAAATATTATGAGCCGTAAATTTCAACGGAATTTAGGAACCGTAAAATTCTCTTGTTTTTAAAGGACTTTTGGCGGGAAGAAAGTTCCGCTGTTAGAGAAGTATATGCGGGTATACTAATTGCAGTATATATATTTAAATGCTCTTTTTAAGGAAATTAAAAAGATTGCCTACTTACTATTTAGGCTTCCAAACTGTGGTTACTTCCCTTTTCTATGTATGTATGTGTGATGTTGTGGTGTTGGTGTGATCTGGTGATGTTGCCTCGCTGTGTTGTTTGTGGTGATTGTGGCTAGTTCCTGTGTCGTGGTGTCTTCCTTGTTGATGTCCTTTTGTTGTCATGTTTTAATAATGTGTTGTTCACTTTTTTCACTTTTTTGATTTACGTATGTACTTATTTTTTTTTTATAAAATTTTTTTTTTTGTATGTGATTTTTTTGTATACGTAAGATTGCACTTAACACTTGTTTATGTGTATATGTATGTACATATTTTTGTATGTTAATAAATTTTCCAAAACTTTTTTTTTTGTATACGTATGTATGTATGTAAATAATTTTTTTTTTTGTAAATATTTAAAAAATATTTTTCTTTTATTGTTTGCACCACCAGCTTTTTTGTTATTTTTATTTTTATTATTTTTTTTTTCAAATATGGTTATATTGTATGCTTTGCTTTATTTTGCGCTGTCTAGCACCACATTTTTTAGTTTATTATATAGTTTTTTAGTTTTTTCGATCGAGGGTACGTTGATTTGTTTTTTGTTTTTAAACTTTAAATTCTTTTTTTTTTTTCAAAAAACTTTGTTTTTAACAGCAGTGGCTGTGTACCGTAGTTTGGCTCATTTTTAGCCTCGAAGGACAAATGTTCAAGTCCACAAGGACTTGAGGGGAAGTAAGGGGATGCCGGCTGTCGAGCGGGCCCACAGTGGAAATAAAAAGCACTTTTTTCATTTTAAAAATTACTCCACAAACTTTAATAAGTATTCAATTAATTTTAGTTCACAAATGATTTTAATGATATATATTATGTATATATATTATGCACTATACAAGGCTTGTTTTAGTTAAACCTATTTTGGCAAATTATCACTACATAAAAATTTAATGAATCCGCGGTTTAAGGTCTGCCGTTTAGCGGCGGCCGATCGGCTAACGAAATTTGGCCAAAAAGGATAGAGAAATTGGCGCGTGATGGGGCACACGGCAGTTACATTTATTTATATAAACGTAATAGGGCTGTTTAAGCAGGCGCTTAAACACCAATAAAACTCACTAACCAAGCGCACTTGATAGTTGTTGTTTAACAATGTAATGAATAATACAACAATAGTTTATATGGCTGATGTTCACGCATTGGTAAAACACTCGTCCGTTGGATCGATAAGAAGTCTGACGAGGAGATGTGGTGATCTCCGAAACAGCTGTCACTTCTATCATTGTTTCTTTGTTGTATAACAAATATTCAATTCATACAAGCAATCAGGCCTCGCAGTTTACTTAATAAAATTAATATATAGCATGGCCGCATAAACAAATTAAATATATATAAGTTGAACCTGATTTTTAATCCTGCCAATTCAATTCATACAAACAATCAGGCCTCGTTGTTTACTTAATAAAATTAATATATAGCATGACCGCACAAACAAATTATAACTATATAAGTTGAACCTGATACTTAATCCGGTCTATACATTTTTCAGTCAATTAACGACTGATAGTATAGAGGATTCCAGTGCAACTCACTAACCAAGCTGTTAAGAAAATAGCGGTTAAATAAGCGCACTTAATAGTTGTTGGTTAATAATGAATTGAATAATACAACAATAGATCATATGGCTGATATCAGCGCAGTGGTAAAACACTCGCCTGTTAAGTCAGGATCCGTTGGTTCGATCCCTGCCATAAGAAGTCTGATGAGGAGATGTGGTGATCTCCGAAACAGCTGTCAATTCTACCATTTCTTCTTTGTTTTATAACATATATTCAATTCATACAAACAATCAGGCCTCGTAGTTTACTTAATAAATTTAATATATATCATGGCCGCATAAGCAAATTGAAAATATGTAAGTTGAACCTGATACTTAATCCGGTCTATACATTTTTCAGTCAATTAACGCCTGAAAGTGTAGAGGATTCCAATACAACTCACTAACCAAGCTGTTCAGAAAATAGCGGCTAAGTTAACGAAGGTAATAGTTGTTGGTTAATAATGACCTGGATAATACAAATATAGATTATATAGCTGATGTTGGCGCAGTGGTAGAACACTCGCCTTTTAAGTCAGGATCCCTTGGTGCGATTCGACCTGAAAGTATAGAGGACTCCAATACAACACACAAACAAAGCTTTTAAGAAAATAGCGGCTAACTTAGCGCACGTAATAGTTGTTGGTTAATAATGACTTGAATAATACAACTATAGATTATTTGGCTGATGATGGCGCAGTGTTAGAACAGTCGCCTGTTAAGTCAGGATCCGTTGGTTCTATCCCTGCCATAAGAAGTCTGACGAGGAGATGTGGTGATCTCCGAAACATAACAAATATTCAATTCATACAAACAATCAGCTCTCATAGTTTATATAATAAAATTAATATATGGCATGGCCGCATAAACAAATTATAAATATATAAGTTGAACCTGATACTTAATCCTGCCTATACCATTTTCAGTCAATTAACGCCTAAAAGTTTAGAGGATTCCAATAAAACTCACTTACCAAGCGCACTTAATAGTTGTTGTTTAACTATGTATTGAATAATACAACAATAGTTTATATGGCTGATGTTCACGCAGTGGTAAAACACTCGCTTTTTAAGTCCGTTGGTTCGATCCCTGCCATAAGAAGTCTGACGAGGAGATGTGGTGATTTTCGAAACAGCTGTCACTTCTACCATTGTTTCTTTGTTGTATAACAAATATTCAATTCATACAAACAATCAGGCCTCGCAGNGGTAGAACAGTCGCCTGTTAAGTCAGGATACGTTGGTTCTATCCCTTCCATAAGAAGTCTGACGAGGAGATGTGGTGATCTCCGAAGCAGCTGTCACTTCAACCATTTTTCCTTGTTGTATTACAAATATTCAATTCATATAAACAATCAGCCCTCGTAGTTTACTTTATAAAATTAATATATAGTGTTCAAGTCCACAAGGACTTGAGGGGAAGTAAGGGGATGCCGGCTGTCGAGCGGGCC